CCCCCCCAATGTTGATACCTTCGCGACGTTCCTGAATATAGCCCTGCGAAATTTTCAAATTTTGTATTATATTAATTTGTATTAAGCACGGGAAAATGCACCACTTTCGAATTCGGCCCAAATGTGGTGCATTTACCCACGCGTAATACAAATTAATACAAAATTTGAAAATTACGCAGGCCAATTAACACCCTTCAACTCTAATTTTGACTTGACTTACCGAGAACCATTAGTCGAGCTGAAAAATTCTGCATTCCAACGACATTCTCTCCAACACAAGTAAAAACACCATTATCTGCTTCGCTCACATTAACAACATCCAGTTCCTCATGGCTTTGTATATACCGAGATGAATTTCTAGCAAGGAGAACTGCTCTCTCATTGGCTCGTTTGAAATACCATACTATAACGGGCGGTGGGTTTCCGGCAAACCGACAGAGAAACGTGGCATTGTTGCCAAGAACTCTTTTGGTATCGCTAGGCATGACGGTACCGTTGGGTGGAGCTAGATAATATAGAAAGAATATACTCAATTTGGCCTTAAATGACCACTTCATTTTTGTGACCGGCCAATTTCTGCAATATGAATTTGAGTGCTGACCAACATAATCAGGGATTTATACACAAGCACTTTTTTACTACCGGTGTACTGTAATAAAACTTTCGAATCGCAATCTTTCTCCGTAATAGATCTAGACCTTACCAATTATTCTCTTTTACCCAATGACCTCGTTTCCATGTTAACTTATTTTAGCATTAATGATTTTTCTGTGTTTATGTAATGTACTCAGTTGAATATGATGCTTGCGATGTTACTCTGAGTGTCCCAATGCTCTGCCAACTGAGCTACGCGGTCAGATCGGTTCGAGTATGTTATGCGATATTTCGGAACAGAATCTAGTTCCTTCGATATCAATGTAATCTAATAATCAGTAACGATTTTTCAGTGGGCTAGTATTCCAAAGGTCGTAGGTTCGATTCCCACCGTGGTCAGGCATGTTTTTCAAGCTTGCCCGGTGTGGATATACACTCAGAGTAACATAACAAGCATCATTATTTTAGCATTTCAGAGGCAGATAAAGATTATATTCCCATGTTTTCCTGAACGAATTTGTTTCTTGCTGTTCTTAGGCTCAATAACAAAGTAATTTTCAACCCTACTAAGCACAAAACATGAGTAAGTATTTGACATGAAAACGAGGCCATTGGGTGAAAAGTGAATAAACGGTAAGGTCTTTATATTTTTCACTTTTTTTAAGACATTGGCAAACGGGAATAATTAACTGAAAAAGGTTAATTTTGATCGTTGTATATTCTTTGATCTCTGTGGAGAACAGTTTATAACTGATCGAAAATCTGCAGTAACACAGGACCAATTTGGAACTCGTAGGGGCAATTTCATAATTCAAAATTATAATAGTTAGCACGCACCGTGAACAATAACGGCTGCCATGGCAACATTATTTCCAGCAACATTCTCAACAGAGCACTTGTATTGTCCAGCATCATTAATATTCACCATACTCAGTACCAGGCTACCATCAGCGCCAAGTGTTAGTCGTGACGTGTTGCTTAGCGACAGCTTACCATGGTACCACTCCAGCAGTGGCTTGGGAAACCCGGCAGCTTTGCACGTCAGGCGAAGTGTTTGACCCAGTACTACTATTTGATGTGATGGTTTTGTCAGGAAATATGGTGGGACTAAAAATATAACAGACAAATACGTAAAGTAATGGTGCTGTAGTTTTACCTGTCATACCATAGTTATGTTGGTCATATATATACGCATCTGATTGGAGACGAACATTCAGAGTAACAGTACTGTAGTTTCATGTGTGATGGATCTCCAGCTTTGAGATGTCTTTCTCAGGAAGTTCAGATACAAACCACAGCAACTTATAATTGTAGATTACTACCTATGCTGGACCATCACGTTTGAGATATCTTTTTCAGGGTAGTTCGGATACAAACCACGGAAGCTTCTTGTAGAATACTACCTAAACTGGACCATCACGTTTGAGATATCTTTTTCAGGTAGTTCAGACACAAATCACGGCAGCTTATTGTAGAATACTACCTACACTGGACCATCACGTTTGAGATATCTTTTTTAGATAGTTCAGATACAAACCACGGCAGCTTATTGTAGAATGCTACCTACACTGGACCACCACGTTTGAGATATCTTTGTCCAGGTAGTTCACACACAAATCACGGCAGCTTATTGTAGAATACTACCTACACTGGACCATCACGTTTGAGATATCTTTTTCAGGAAGTTCAGACACAAATCACGGCAGCTTCTTGTAGAATACTACCTACACGATTTACCCCAGGTTCTACTTTTTTAGCTTTGATAGATCGATATATACTGTACCATTTACAGTTAAATAACCAGCCGTAGATGTCCTCGTTTTTATCAAAAACTCTTTTGAGAGTGAGACATCACAGATATATACGCCTTCATCACTTTTCAAGACAGGAGAAATGACCAGACTGCCAGACGAAGAAATACCGATTCTACCATCCATGATGATTTTTCTGTAGCTTTTATACCATTTGTATCGAAGTGATTTAGGAAAATGGCTTGGTGGTTCGCAAATCATTTCAACTCTGCTGCCATTTACAACCGTTTTATTCTCGGGGTTCCTCTTGAAGTTAAAGTCAATAACTAAATAAATAGATTAATTGCAGACTTTTGCAAATGACCAATAATTACAAACTGCATGTTACATAAGGTCTATAATTAAAATTTGATTAGAACACGTCACGAATAGTGAAGGCATAAGTGAAGAGTCGACGCTCTAACGAAACGGTCGTGGCTTTTCCCCGGGTGCTCCGGTTTCCACCCACAGGGAATGTTGACAGGTGGACTGGGGTTAACCCCAAACTTACGTTACTGACCCTATACCACCGTAGCTGTGCTCTGCCTTCAACTCAACTTCAGGTTGAGCTGCGTCATTTGCAATTCAGCTTAGCTCTCAGCTGCAAGTAAGGCTACGATAACACTGTGCCATATAGCTTTCCGTAGCGACTTGAAAAAACATCTATCCGTACCTTTTAGGAACGTTAATTTCCAGGGTTCGAAATAGTAGCCAGCGATAGCCGGCAGTTTTAGGACCTTGCCGGCGATTTCTAATTTCAAAGCATAGCGGATCGGCGAAAATATTATATTTATTCACCGATGACTCGCTTACAATAACACCATACTTATACACAGACAGAACTTGTTAATGTTTGTTCCTACACATGTTGTATTGGTTTACATCACTATTATTTGGCCTAATAGCCCACTCCAGAACATAAATAAACTTCGCTTGGAAAATAGCCGGCAAAAATTTTCACCTACAAAAAAACTTGAAAACCTACAAAATTTGACATTTTTTCAGAACGTTATTTCGAACCCTGATTTCAGAGGAATTATTGCAACTGTTTCGTTCAGCTTCTGAAAGTTGTACATTTCGTATCGGATCTAGGTGCTTCTTCCCGTGGCTACGGAAAGCTATCAAGTATAGTGAAAACGTCGCCTAAGGATGATTAATAGCACACCCCACTTACATGCAACATTGAGAAATATATTAGAGCTGGCAACAGATCCTTTACTGTTCGTGCCATTACAGGAATACTGTCCACTATCCTGGCGGGCTAATGAGTGGATAACTAGGGAACCATTCGGATACACCATTCTGTCCGAGGTATTACTGACTCTCACGTTGTCATGTGACCAGAACACGACAGGGGGTGGGACCCCTACAATGACGCAATCCAGACGCAGTGGGTGTCTTCGAGGAGAGATCGTGTTCACTGGATGAACTTCAATACGTGGCTCGTCGTCCTTCGCTATAAAGAGAGAATATACTCAGACACAATTTATTACATTTCCCAAACACGAGATATTTGGGGTATAGGCTTAGGTACTTAGGTCTGCAGTTAGGGTTAAGGCTAGTTTCCACTCAGGAAAATTATCCGTGGATTGGAACGGACAAGAAAATTTTTCTTTGTGTTAAAGTCATTAGTTCCAATTACCCAGAGCTCACAAGACAAAGAAAAATTTTCTTGTCCGTTCCAATCCACAGATAATTTTCCTGAGTGGAAACTAGCCTTCAGGGAAAAGAATCAAAAGATTAGAATCAGCATCGGAACAGTGAGATATGAATCTATAACTGGTATTTGTAATTAGCCTACCAATGACTGATTACAATGGCACGTGGCAAGCATTAACTCAATGAAAACTTCACTAAACGTAAGAGCTCATGTGAGAGGTTTCCTGTTTTCTATCAAGGTTTTTGGACATATGGTATTATCGAAACATTGAAACTGGTATTGTCAGAATATTAATGGGATCAGGGCTCATTAAAATTTAATGCCTGCAAGCAAAATTCATTACTTCAGAATGTGCCTGTGAAATTGGTTTTGAGAACTACAGTAAATATTGTTAGAATGTCTGTATTTTAAAAGATGCCGGTACAAATTAAAAGGTGCCTCAGCTAGCGGCATTTGTGTGCACGTACATTTTATTTATCAACGCCTGATTGGGATACTGCAAACCCTGACCCTAGCCTACATTAATACTTACGTAGCACCATGAGGTACACCTCTTGACTTTTTCTGGGTTCATCTGGCAAGAGCGGATTAGTTGCCACACATCTGTAATACCCTCTGTCGGCCAATACTGACACATTCGTCAGTTGCAGTGTTGCCGAGGTTGCTTTTTGAGTGGGGAGCTGGTACTGCACCACAATGTTCTGGTCCGTGATTGGTCGACCATCCTTCTCCCATGTGACGCTAGGCAGTGGTTGACTTGCACCACTAATGCATGTTAAGGTGACTGTGACATGTTCACGGATTGGGGTTGACAATGCAGGGGGTGTAATGAAAGTCGAGTTGATATCTGAGAAAAATTAATTTTAATTGAATAATATATAAATAAATTGTGAAACCAAACTACATACAAACAAACAGGGACAAAATATGTGGACCGGTTAGGCTGAGATTGTAGCATAATCTCCTTCCTTCCTGTTCAATGTTGATAGATTAAAATAAGTACATTGGTACACATACATGATTTACCATAAATTGAATATTTGCCATATGAGGAGACTTACATGCAAGAGTTATACGAGCTGGAATTTTTGAGTAAATGGTATTTGCAGTACCACGGTGAATAGCGGAACAGAAGTAAACATTTTCATCTCCAGTTTCGACGCTAGGGAAGGACAGGGAGCCGTTGCTTAGCAGTTTGTAAGGCTTGTTTGCGTAGTCAAAGATCCATCGTGTATTGTAACCTTTCTTCCACTGGATTAAAATGTCAGAGGTTTGGTTATTTGTCTGACAGTTCAGGATTGCAGGACTTCCTTTTCTGACAACCACACTCTTTGGCTCAATGGTGAACACTGAAAATAAGTAAAAAGATGGACGTATTCATAAATTCTTAAGCGATTGGTCACTGGCTGGCGCTACAATTAAAGGGAAGAAGCAAATTAGGGAGGCAATTAACTTCCTAAATTTCAAAAGCCTTTCAAGAAAGTTAGTTGAACTAAAAGTTAGCTTTGTATGTCGCAGGGCTCTTTATTTGCATCTTCAACCTGCTTAATCCATTGAGTGACAGTTCTTTCCATTACTCCTGTAGAGTAAAATAATAAAGTAGGGCACATCGCTACTTAAAGGGTTAACAGGATGCTGATTAACTCATTGAGTGGCAGCACTCTCTCCCCCTTAATGGCTAAAATCGTCCTGCATTTAATACACAGAGTAGGGCACATCAAGGCATATTGCCACTTAATGGGCCATATGAAACTTTAAATTTTGTTCAGCGAATGAGCAAAGTTTGAATCAATTTACAAATTATAATACCAAAACATGAAATCAAAATGATAAATTAAATAGTAAGACATTCAAGATAAGATATTTGCAACAAAAGACATTCCAAATACAAGATATTTGCAACATTTTAAAATATTTTAAATTCTATTTACAGCAACAGAAATATTCTAAAATTTCCGGTCATATCAAAACCAAGACATGCATTTTAAATTAATTACCAAAAATACACATGAACTTTGCTAATTAAAGTTAATTAAAAGACGTAAACTCACTTAGATTTTGTAAAGATACAGTAGGAATCCAGCAGCATAACAATAATCCACCCAGCAGAAACATCGTGATAATGGAACTTTAAACCGTTTACATGATTCAAAATGATTTGCGATTGTTCTTTTGTTGATGGTATTAAACTTGGAAATATGGCGTCTGCAGCTATTAAACAGCTAAATTTCTTTTCACCCCGAATAAACAGGCATAGGACGAAAATATAATGACTTTTATCATACAGATAACTGAAAATACAGTAATACCAGCAAATAATAAAGTAAATTAATTGACACTCAGACACCACAAAATTAATTCGTTGTTTTTGTTTATATATGGTTGCTACGGTGGGCATGTACTAAAAGGCGAAACGTCGAAACGAAACGACCGAAACGAAACGGCCGAAACCATCGAAACCACCGAAACGACCGAAACGAAACAACCGAAACGAAACAACCGAAACGAAACGACTGAAACGAAACGACCGAAACGGAACGACCGAAACGAAACGGCCGGAAATGTAAATGCGGATACGGACGGACGGACGGGGGGAAGAGGCGGATGGACGGGAAAAACAGGCGGATGGACGGGAGGACAGGCAGATGGACGGGGGGGGGACGGCTTCATTTGACGCAAAACTCAATTTTAAAATCAAATCCGCGTTTTGTTGCAAGGGATATATTAGGATATATTATAAAAGACTATTATTAATCGTAATAAATTGTCCGCGAAAAGTTGATAAACTAACATGTGGAAATGTAATTGTTTTTGTTTGTGGAAACACCACGTAAATTTATTACTGCAAAGCTTTCGATCCGTAAGCCCGGATCTTCATCAGTGCTAATAATGTGTGGAAATGCTGGGTTTTTCAAACCTTCGTAACGCTTGATATAAGGATAAAACGGCGCGGATATGC